TCAGTCTTACATCGGGGAAACTAAACAGCCACTGGCCAAAAGGATGGACCAGCACAGAAGATCAACATCATCAGGCCAGGATTCTGCGGTCTACACTCATCTCCAGGCCAGCGGTCACTCTTTCAGGGATGAAGATGTTCACATCCTGGACAGAGAGGAACGATGGTTTGAGAGAGGAGTAAAGGAGGCCATCTTTGTGAAAAGAAACCGTCCATCATTAAACAGGGGTGGAGCCTCTGGGTTCAACTGTCCCCCTCTTACAATGCTGTGATTGCTAGTATCACTCAGCCCTCTGTGAACAGTAAACAGCCATCAGGTGCTAATGATCCATTGTTAGGCTGATGGTCCTTCTTGAGCATGTGATCAGCTGGTTCTGGTTGTCAGCAGCAAAACTGGTTGATCCACTCTGAGAAGGTGCTATTTAAGAGACTGAGCTGAATACAGCACCTCAGACTGAGGAAGTCTCTTGGATGAGAGACGAAACGTTTCTACATTTTTTTGCTTTGTTTTGTTTTTTGTTTTTTTGAATGTCCAGAGGACCAGATTGAACTTTTTTGGATTTTTCTACCTGGATTATTGAGCATGCATCAGGATACTTATAGCAGGTAGATCAACTTTGACTTGATCATTTTAAAAGGAGTTGCAGGATGAAAAAGTCTGGGCACCCTGTGATAAATAATGCCACATTCTGAGGTTTTATAATACAAATTTACATTTTCACGTCCTTACCGATTCTGTTTATGCTAATATTTGTTTTCTTTTAAACAGCAAGGGAATGTGGTGAACTCTGACTTTTGGAAAGACATGTTGGCTGCAATTGAACACAATTACAACACATCTGCATTTAAAGGTAAGTAGTTCATTTTAAACACAAACACGCTTTAATACACAGATTTATTTACCATGGAAGAATAAACATAGCACAGCAAAGGTATTTTTCAAAGTCAAACTTTTATTTTGTGTTTTTGATCAGTAATTGGTACATAACTTAACACATCCAATGGGACACGTTTTTATAAAAAGCATTTTGAATTTCTCCTCCTTTGTTCTATGGTGGTCAAAGTGCTTATGAAAGTGTGTTGAACTCTAATGACATATATTACAAATGTTTTGCATGTTTTAGTATGCAAATACAGAGAAATCCTTAAACAACAACATTAATAAAGACATACACAAAAAAGCACCATAAAGCTTCCAGGCAGTTGTAGAGCACCACTTCAATGTTTTTCAGAATCATTCCTTGTTTTTCTAAACTTTCATAGGTACAAGGTGAAACGGGGACAGGAATCATTTTGAGAATATACATCTCAGTGAAGTGAAACATTTTTAACCAAATTAAAAACCTTTGAAAACTTGACCGAAGCAGCTTAACTTGTCAAACTCAGAACCAATTCACAATCACATTAAAATTTTGTAAACTGATCTTGTCCTCTGTGAAGTTTGATGTTTTAGAATTTTTGAGGTTTATAAAGATTTTTGAAATCACGTGGAGGCAATTAGGAACCCAGAGAAAATACAATGAACATTATCTGCAGCAAATATACCATTGCTCTCCTCATCAGGAACTTGGACATAGACCCTGTCTCCAGGATGCAGCAGGAGAACAGCACTGCCTGACATCTGGTCAAGGAAGCCCTTGTTGTACTCATCATATGTGAACAAAACTGGCTCCTCGTTTTTGTAGAGGGCCACCAATGCATTAGCACCGTTGACATGCATATGGAAGCTGAAGAAGTACAGGCCTGGGATTTGACAGGTGAACACACCACTGTGTGCATCATAATGGTGCTCTCCATTATATACAATCTGGTTGAACTGGATTGGGACTCCAGCTTGGGGGTAGGCCGTGGTCAGCACAGCACTGAAGGCAGACATAGGAGCTTTCATGATTTCATGAGGCATCACAACTTCATGAGACTTGATTGGCATGCTCTTGTCGTGGTGGTAGACCACTTCTCCTGGTGGACCAGGTGGACCAGGAGGACCAACAGGGCCAGGGAGACCATCCTGACCTCTCTCACCTGGGAATCCAGGGGGACCCTGAGGACCAGAAACTCCCTTGGCAGTCTGGCCAGCTGGACCAGGTGAACCTGGAAGTCCTGGGTGGCCCTTGAGTCCAGATGGACCTGATGGACCAGGGGCCCCAACTGGTCCCACTGGCCCTGGCCTTCCAGGTTCACCACTTTTTCCTGGTGCGCCTGGTTGACCTGTATGTCCTTTTAGTCCAGGTGCACCATTTGAACCAGGGAGTCCTGGTGCACCAGCATGTCCTTGTGAACCCTTAGGACCCTGAGCACCATTATGACCTGGAAGTCCTGCAGGACCTACAGCGCCAGGGGTACCTGGTTTTCCAGAGAACCCTTGAGCTCCCTGCTCACCTTTGGATCCCCTTGGGCCTGGTGCACCCACCATACCAATGTCACCTTTGGGTCCAACTGGGCCTGACTCACCCTGAAACCCTCTTGCACCCTGTGGACCAGCTGGGCCAACTGGACCAGGAGCACCTGGATGACCAGTAAATCCAGTTGGGCCTGGCTCTCCTTTCTGACCGGTGGTTCCTGAAGTTCCAGGAGCACCTCTGCTTCCTGGAATTCCTGGTTCACCTGTTTTGCCAACACCTGGCATGCCAGGGGAGCCTGGCTGACCAGCAGGACCCTGTGGACCCTTGGGCCCCATAGGTCCAGGCATACCTGGAGTACCATTCTGGCCTGACTTTCCTGGAGCTCCTACACCTGGAGGCCCAGTGTGACCTTTAAGCCCTGGTGCACCCACTGGGCCAGGAGCTCCATCTCTTCCTGGCATGCCAGACTTACCAGGTTCTCCAGGATAGCCAGTGGCACCAGGCTTGCCAATTCCAGGACTGCCTGGCATACCAGATGGGCCCATTGGTCCAGTTGGACCTGGTGGTCCTTGTACACCAGGAACACCAATGCCCTTTTCACCTTTGGAACCAGGTAGACCAGGGATACCAGGATGCCCCTTCAAACCAGGCTCACCCCTTGGACCAATTGCACCTGGGAACCCAGATGGTCCAGGTTTTCCAACAGCTGAAAGTCCTTCAGGGCCAGGAGTTCCAGGGGTTCCAGGGGCACCTCTTGGCCCCATTGCTCCATGTGCACCAGGGATGCCTTTATCACCAGGAAGACCAGGGGCACCTGGTTTTCCAGGTGCACCTGGGGTACCTGGTTTACCCGCCTGAGAGTGGCCAGGGGCTCCAGGAGATCCTGGTGGGCCTCGTGGTCCTGTGTGTCCAACACCCCTTTCTCCAGGTGGTCCAGATGGTCCCATTGGTCCTTGCTCTCCTGGAGGGCCTGGAGGGCCTGGTTGTCCTACGACAGCTAAAGGAAACACAAACAGAATGTGGTTGAGTAATTAATGACAATGACATATCTTAATTATTTCGTTTAATGTTTATGGTTTAAACTGAGCAAATGAACTAGTTGTAAAAAAGCTAAAATGAAGAAACAGAGATTAAAAATCTGGGACGTGTCTTCACTTGAGACCTGTAAAGTTCTCACAGGATCCTTGAATAACTCACATTTAAAGTGTTGAACTCAACCACAACCTTAGTGGAAACAACGCTCTCTGTCATTGTGGCTTTATGGAAAAGCAGCTTTTATTTTCTCCAGGAACCTGCAGAACGCTGATCTGAGATGATGTTCACGACAACATTTATCTCTGCTGCTATACCAAGTGTGTACCTTCATTGTTTGCACTATAGTTTATTATATTCTGAGCATTTGTGTCAGTAACTTCACATTTCCTGCTTGTATTTTAGGTTATACCAAACATACAAGTTCTTATTGTCCTCTAAAACATCCACCTTGATGTTAACAGGTCGGTGACCACCTCCTAAGGAATAAGGGGGAGTTTTGATCTTTATTGTATTAAATGGTAAATGGACTGTACTTATTTATCACATTTCTATCTTATCAAGACACTCAAAGCTCTTTACACTACAATCTGTGCCTCATGTACGTCCACACACATTCATACACCCATGGGACACACATCAGAGGCAATCAGGGGTTCAGTGTCTTGCCCAGGGACACTTTGATATGTGACTGCTGGTGGATTCGAACCCCCAACTCTTGCATTGGAGGACGACTGCTCTAACCACTCAGCCACAGTCGTAGTTTAAAAAAAATGTACTCTAACCTTTAGTCTTTTTAACAGCAGTGGGTTTACAAACATGGTAAAGTTGTGTTGACTGGTTAGTTGTAATAACGGGTGGACTTTTCTCCCAGCATCACTCACCAATCAAATATTGTCAGTCAGTTGTGTTGCATCACTCTGTCTGTGTAATATATTTATGGTAGAATAGTTGCAGATAATCCTGAGTTGTGGCACCATATTGTTTCTTATGATAAAATGTCAAATAGTGTGTGTGAACTTCAACACCAGAGTAGCTGTAACACATGGACTGTGCACATTCACCACCTGTGAGAAGTGTTAACAAAAGTCTGTATTTGTCCACAACTTGTGATTTTATCACACAGCTTCTGCGTTCCTCTTTTAGAAACAGAAGGTCTGCTCTGGCAGAGCAGTCACTGTGCAGCCATGTAGAGCTGCGTCTACAGGTTTGTGCTTGAAGGGAACCTGTGATGGTGATGGAACTGACCCAGGATCAGAACCTCTTGGGGCAAGAAACAATGATGACACCAGTTACTTAGACCAGTTCTGAGTTTTGTTGCTTTTCTATCTGAAAATAAAAGTGTTAGAAGTTGTTGCTGTCCTTTTTATGAGACACTGAGCTCACTGGGCGTCAGAAACTGCAGTAAATCTGCTGTGAACTGGTGTCTGCAGCTTCTGTGTGTGATTGTGTGGTGGGACTGGGCCACCACAGGCCCGTTGGGTTGGGTGTGCCTGCACCGTGGTTCAACCATCTGTTTCAGAGATTAGAAAGTCACGGTTTAATTTGCATTTTTAAGCTCGTGTAGAGGCAGACTGTGAAAACACATGAAGATACAACTTTAAATGAGATCGTAAACTGCTCAGTGCAAACTTTCAGTAATTTGCTGAAGCATTTTGATCTTCTTAAATGATTTGTCCTCAACAGACAGCTGTTTGGCAGCTGTGCTCCACCTCACAGCTCCATGAAGTCCGACATGAGTTCAGCTGAGCTGCTGGACGGAGCGTGGCCTTCGTGACACACTAGGGCCAGTGTGATAGAGAGCTCAGGGAGGTGGGAGTGATGATGATAATGAAGACTTGAGGTTTGCACCTAACTGACAACTTCTGGAGGGTTCTTGAAAAACCTGCAGTTTTAAAGTTGTGTCAGAATTATTGTTCTAAAGTTTACTGCTAAACTGTCTTTAACTGACCTGTGAATTCTTGTTTTTATATGTTTCTTTTTTACAGATTATGTTTAAGACAGTCGAGCTCATTTTGGGTGTTAGTGCCTTTAGTAGGTGTAAAGAAAGGCAACTTGAACTTCCCAAAACCATCCTTAAAAGTATTTACTTGCTTTTTTTTAACCGTTATTGTTTAAATACAAAAAAGAGAGAGCACCAACATCATGAAGTTTATTCTGAAGCTGTTTAACCCTCCAAATACAGCCTGAAGTCAGTTTTACACTCACAAGTAGATGGAGGCCGCTGCATCTAACATCACTCATCCCTGCATCCCACCACCCATCATTGTGTTCTGAGAAGTGCTGAGGGAAAAAGCAGCAGCTCCACACTGAAACTCACCGTGGCTCTTGACAGGGTAGGGAACCTTTGTCACTTTGGGTGCGTAGTACCTCTCGGGGGTTCCCTCGGCCAAAGCCAGGAGGATGAGAAGAAGGCTTGTTACCCTCAAGTCCATCTTGTGAAGCTAAACCTGCACATGCAAAAATGAAAACATCAAAATTAATAACGACGAGGTTTGTGCCAGTTTTCTTCTTATTTTTGTGGCACCCAGCAGTGGAAACAGTCCTAACATCTGTGGCACATGATCTTCAACATCTCTGTCTGATCTGTTCGAATGTTGCCTCTTTGCTCAGAATTCACTCGCAGTAAGACCAAGGGCACATTGAAAGCACATCAAAACATGTTTTCCTGTGCATAAACCCAAGTCTAGCTCATAACACCTGCTGCACGTGCAGTCATCACTCTGAGCCGGCTGCACCCTCCCACCCACAAGTCTGACAGCAGAGAACTCACCGTGGAGGCTTACGCTCCAGAGAAACCAAAGCTGAGTGTGGATGCTGCTGTCCCAGAGCTCTGCTTGTATATCCGTATCCGTAGAGTGTGCCTGCCTGGGTGAACGGCAGCTGCTGCTTCCTGGACCACTCGGCTCTACGCATTTATACTGAGCTGCTCTCCAGCATCCTGCAGGATCTACCTCCTGTGGTACCTCCCTGCTCTGATGTCATCTTTAATGATGGGTGCGAGTCCCACAGAGGCCTGTCAGTCCAGCGTGATGGTCCTTCCTCCTCTCCCCACCCTGCTTGCTTATGACTTTTTGTATTGGGGCAGCAGCATGGGGGGTGGGGAGCCCAACAGGACCATTGTGCTGGCAGGAGACTGGTTCTTCACAAACATTTCTCATGAAGTCATATCATCTGTCTGTTACCACCTTTCTGACTCTAAACCTATCATCTTTCTTTTAACAGTTTTTCTGACTTAAAGGTGTTAAAGTTAGTTTCAGGAGGCTCCTGCAGAGTGAAGACCGAGTCTGATGCAGGCTCTGTTCAGTGTGAAGCTTCACTACAACGTTTGTTTGGTCACTTTAGATGAAATCTGGTCATTTCACAATTTGAATTTCGTCTAAGCTCTATTTTAGTTGTCTGGTGCTGATTATGTGCATGTCAGAGTTCACTTTGTGAAGCTTGATGGTAAATTTGTGTTCTTTAAATGAAGAAGTGGTTTTAGACGTTTTAAGACACCAGGAGGCAGCAGTGAAGTGTTTGAGACACTTCCTTCAGCTCCTCACAGCTCATTTACTGAAAACATTTAAATAAACTTAGAACAACCTGAGCAATTAAAGGTCAAGCATTCATTTGTCCTACAGCCTTTCATGGCAGTTTTAAACTAAAATTATGTTTTAAGGAGAAATTATGGAACTGTAGCCACTTTAATCAAATCTTAAAAATAAGGTTATGCACAATCCAAGGCAAGATGTCACACTCAGAATGACTCTCAGCCACTACCACACCAAACTCAGGTCGACATCTGTAGCAATTATATAGACCTGGCAGACTTATAGAAAAGTGCACAATCATATTGAGACATTCGAGCACTAGACCCTCTTCAGCCATCAGGATTATCTATGATGTAATTGTGATGGTAATAGACATGTGACATCATTTGTACTTATTTTTAGCCATTTTTGTGACTTTTAATGCCATCTGGCTGTTTCAGTCATTTTGAATCAAACTGACTTCAAAAGTTAGACATTTGTAGATGATTGAATATTTTCTGCAAGTTCCAAAATATTTTTTTGTCGATTCCTAAAAATATTTGAGTATCTTGGTCGACTCACATCTCTCTTTTAAGCTCCATGTGGAAAACCTAGTAAAGAAACTCAAAGTTAAACTGGGTTTGTTTTTCAGAAACAGATCCTGTCTAACCCTGAATGTTAGAAAACACCTTGTATCTGTGACTTCCCTCCATTGATTACGGTGACATTATTTACATGAACGCTCCTACAAGAACCCTGCAGATGTTGGATGCTGCAGATGTTGGATGCTGTCTATCATTGTGCACTAAGATTCATAACTGGCTGTGATTATCGTACCCACCACTGCACCCAGTATTCACTGGTTAACTGGTCACCATTAACTTCACACAGACTCTCCCACTGGTACATTTTCATCTTTAAATCACTTCTTGGTCTGCTGCCTTCATACATCTCCTCCTACATGTCTCTGTGTGAGT